GCCCTGTGTTTCTGTCCCTTTCCAGGGAATTCCAAGCCCTGTGTCCCTTTCCAGGAGGGAATTCCAAGCCCTGTATTCCCTCTCCTGTTCCTGCCAGAGCAGGGAATTCATCCCTGGCCTCCCCCCCCTCCCACAGTTGGGAATGACTTTGTTCCTCCAGCTGGGAATGACTTTTCCAAGGGCTCTGCAGGTTCCTGCCTCCAGAGGCAGCTCTGGGAACAATTGGGAATTGCCCAGAGCCCCCCCCCTTCCCATCCCAACCAGACCCTGGAATGTCCTTCCCATCCTCTGCCTCCCATCCCAGGGAGCTGCTCCCAAATTTGGGTCCTCCAGGACCTCTGGGAAACCTGGAGTGGTTTGGATCTCCCAGGAAAGTCCCTCGGGAGCTCCAGGGAAATCTCCATGATCCCAAAGAGAATGAGGGGCTGGAGGGAATGGGGGTCCCGGGGACACGGGAATTCCCCCTTGGAGAGGGGCGGGAGGAGTTTGGGAAGGGAAAACTGTCCCTGAGTTTTCCAAAGGTCTCCAGGAGAGCAGCGAAGAGCAGAGGTTTTCCCAAAATTTGGCTCTTCTGGAGCCTTTGGATCCCTGGAGTGGTTGGGATCACCCAGGAAAGTCCCTCGGGAGCTCCAGGGAAACCCCCTGTGATCCCAAAGGGAATGAGGGGCCGCAGGGAATGGGGGTCCCAGGGACACGGGAATTCTCCTGGGAAGCAATTCCAGCCTCCTCCGGTGCCGGAGCTCATCCGGAGCCCTCGGGTGAATCCTGCCGGGAAGGAATTCCCGCTCCAGGAGGTGGGAAATCGGGAAAGAACCGAGGACACGACGGATTTGGGGGGGACGGAACTTTATTGGAAGAGCCTTGACCCCAAGGAACGGGAGCTGCGGGAACAGGGATGTGCTGGGGGGGGTCTGTCCTACGGGAATGTGGGAATGCGGGCGGAAATCCGGGAATTCCAGGGGGCTGCGTGGCTGGAGCCGGGAAGGGAAATCCTGCGGGATGTTGGGATGGGCTGTGCCAGAGGCCACGGGAATGTCCCCAAACCAACCTGGGCTGGGAATGTGGGAATGTGGCACCTCCAGGGAGCTCCAGGAGCTTTGGAGCCTCGGGATGGGCCGGGGTGGGATCCAGGGAAGGGCCAATCCCGGGAGAAGATCAATAAATACAAACATGGGGGGGTTTTCCAGCTTTTTGGGGAGGTCTGGATTGGATTTTAGGAAGGAATTCCTCCCCGGGAGGGTGGGAATGGATTTCCCAGAGGATTCCCCATCCCCTGGGAGCGTCCAAGGCCCCCCGGGAGGGTGGAAAATGTCCCTGCCCATGGAAAGGTGGGATGGGAGGAGCTTTGAGGGACTTTAAGGTCCCTCCCAATCCAACCCATCCCGAGGTTTTAGGAATTCCTGCTAAATGGAAACCAATATCCCAATTTTTGGATGGTGTGTGGGGTCTGGAGCACCTGGAGAGGGAGAGGGAGCAGGAAAATCCCAAATCCCAGCTGGGAGGATTTCAGCTCCGGAGGGAAGGGATGAGGGGCCTCCCAAGGGCTGGAGCAGCCAAGGATTGTCCGGAGCCGGGAATCTGGTGGGGACAAATCCCCCTGGGAGGGCGATTCCCTCCGGCTGGGAAAGCTGGACGGTGTTTTCCTTGGAAAACCACGGCAGGGAGCACCTCTGGGAGCAGGAGGAGGGGTTGGGGACACCGGGAAAGGGTCAAAGTGGGGGAAGGACCCTCCCCCTCCTCCCCCAGGACATTCCTGGGGCGGCTGCAAATCCCCCGGGAAAGGTGGGAATGGGATGGGAATGGGAGAGTCCCGGAGATCCTGGGATGGGAATGGGAGAGTCCCAGAGATCCTGGGATGGGAATGGGAGAGTCCCAGAGGTCCTGGGATGGGAATGGGAACGGGAATGGGAATGGGAACGGGAATGGGAATGGGAGAGTCCCGGAGGTCCTGGGATGGGAATGGGAACGGGAATGGGAACGGGACATTCCCGGAGGTGCCGGGTGGGTTCTGCTGGAGCAGGGTGGGGGTGGGGACAGGGACCCGCAGGATTCTCATCCCTCAGGAGGCCGGAATGTGGGACCAAGGGCTTTCCAGGTGTTTCCAGGTGCTTCTCTGTTCCCATTGAGGATCTTCCCAGGTGGAATCCGAGCCCAGGAGGCCCCAGGGGGGGTCACTGGGCCCCCCGGAGGGTCTTTGTGCCGCCTCCATTGGGTGAAGAGCCGGGAATTCCCTGCCCCGCTCCGGCAAAAAGCCGGGAATGGCACCGGGCGCTGGCGGAGACTGGAAGAGAGGGATAGGGGGGTCAGGAACGGCCCGGAACGGCCCCAATTCCCAAATTTTGGAGGGGTGGGAGCACTTACGGGGCCTGGGCCGGGAGCGGACGGCGCTGATGACGGCGGGGATGGGCTGCTCCAGGCTGGGGACGGAAGGACACGGATTAAACTTGGCCGGGGGGAACAGGAACCGCAGGAGGAACTCCGGGAACAACTGGAGAGGATCCGGAGAACACCCAGAGAACCTCAGGAGGAGTTCTGGGGAACATCTGGGGATGGTCTGGGACCACCCCCCAGGGACATCCCGGAGAACATCCCCAGGGTTTCCAGGGAACACCCAGAGAGGGTCTGGAGAACACCCAGAGAACATCTGGAGAACATCTGGAGAAGTTCTGGGGAACATCTGGGGATGGTCTGGGACCACCCCCCAGGGACATCCTGGAGAACATCCCCAGGGGTTCCAGGGAACACCCAGAGAGGGTCTGGAGAACACCCAGAGAACCTTAGGAGGAGTTCTGGAGAACATCTGGAGAGGGTCTGGGGAACATCTGGGACATTCTGGGCACCACCCCCCAGGGACATCCTGGAGAACATCCCCAGGGGTTCCAGGGAACACCCAGAGAGGGTCTGGAGAATATCTGGTGATGGTCTGGGCACCACCCAGAGACATCCTGGAGAACATCTGGAGAAGTTCCTGAAAAAAAAAATCTAATAAATTCTAGAGAACATCTGGAGAGGTTCTGGAGAACATCCAGGGAACATCTGGAGAGGTTCTGGAGAACATCCAGGGAACATCTGGAGAGGTTCCGGGGAATATTCACAGAGGTTCTGGAGACCACCCAGAGACCTTCTAGGGAACACCCAGAGAGGTTCTGGAGAACACCCAGAGAACATCTGGAGATGTTCTGGGGAACATCTGGGGATGGTCTGGGACCACCCCCCAGGGACATCCCGGAAAACATCCCCAGAGGTTCCAGGGAACACCCAGAGAGGTTCTGGAGAACACCCAGAGAACATCTGGAGATGTTCTGGGGAACATCTGGAGAGGTTCTA